ACAGATCCTTTCAAATTCTTTTCACTTCTCTCTTTTTTGATCTTTTTTTTATATAAACGGTGGTAACTAGCAACTCGATGAACACAAAACACAACGTAACAGTACCGAGAAATGGTTATAGGTTTTTTTGTGGCTTTGGACTATAGGATATGAATAAACACAAATATATGAAGTAGATTAAACAAGGATAATGATGTGGATGATGGCAAGACCTACCGTGTCAACTTGTGCTCTGATACCACATGATAAGTACTGAAACTATTTTAGTATGGGAGTTGGCCCGATCTTCACGACAGTAGGTTGGAAATCACCAGATAACTTGTTGCGAACAGCAGAGGATAACTAGCTTTATACCAACCAAGGTTGGATGCGACCAAGCGACGGGGAGAGAGGCACCGAAACCGCGAAGACTTCGACTCGATCTCCGAACGACCGCAAAACCACAACCGGAGCTAATCTACACAAGGCAGGGCAGACGTACTGGAACCCACAAAGCACGAACTAGTGGATTCCAAAGGAATTTCTTCACAAGTCCAGGAAGAACAAGGAAGAACAAGGGTTTGAGTAAGCACTCAGCAGCTCGGCTGCAAAATCACTGGAATTATCAAATTATCAAAAAGTCCTTTTCTAGTAGCCTAGTGGTGGTATTTATACTATGAGAAGTTTCTAAGATAGATGTGAACTGAAGAAGCCATGTTGGAAGGTGGAAGGACAATGGACTAGAGCATTCACGAAGTGGTCTTCAGTTTTCGCGTGTCTTCTGGGCTTCTGGGCAGTCTTTAATGTTTTGGTCATAACTCCTTCAGTTTTTGCATAGGCTCTTTAGCTTCATGCAGACTATTGAGCTTCGGAGCAGTCTTCACTAAAACTGGTCGAACGCCCAGCTTTTCTCTCTGATCCATCCTTGATGTATCCTTGTCTTCTTTCTCGGAGAACCTGAGTAATAACAACATGCACGACTTAGGTAGCTCAAAATTACCATCAATGTTTAATTGAAATTCACAAAGTAGCGCGTGCACCTCTTGTTGTATCTTTTTGGCGCGGCTACGGGTGATTGGTCCAGTAGGGACTTCAAGTGGTGTATCAGCTGGTGAGGTGGTCGGAGAGGATGCCGAGGTCGGTGAAGTGATCGGAGAGGTCGCCGAGGTGGTCGGAGAGGTGATCGGAGTGGTCGGAGAAGTGGTCGGAGTGGTCGGAGAAGTGGTCGGAGTGGTCTCCTAGGTTTCCGGAGTGGTCGGAGAGGTGGTCTGAGTGGTCGCCGAGGTCTCCGACGCTGGCGTGCTCACATCACTGCGTGGACAATTGGGTGCCCATCAGCGAATCCTCGCCCTCTAGGACATCCTAATCCACATCGGCAACTACCTCATCAAAATCCTCATCGTCATCGTCGTCATTGTCGTAGTCCTCGATCTCATGCTTGCTGCTTCCGTAGCATCTTCTTCTTCTGGAGCTCTCTCGTCCTCCTATCCTACTCGGCCACAGTGTGGTTCGCTGTCGCCAGGATCTGATCCTTCGGCAGCGGAGTTGGGCTATCCCTGAGGACGAGTCTCTTCGGCTGGTGCCGCTATCCCGAGGTCAGCTTCAAGGGGTTAGAAATTCAAGTGAATAGGAGGCATGGGAAAAGGGAACTGACGAAATCGAAGAACCCCAGTTCTGACCGCATTGGGGGATGCCTCGGCACCGGATACACGAAATCAAGGACAACGCCGACGCTGTCCTTCGAAGGCTCCATCACCTCCTTTATCTGCTGCGCCACTTTGGTGGGGGGAGCGCTTCGTCGATGAGAGTTGTCCCTTCAGGCAACGCCTCGGGCGCCATTAGGTACAGGGGAGCATGCGGCTCATTAGCGGCGCCACCCTCCGCGTATGGTAGGCACCGATAATCCCCGATCCCTTCACGCCCCTCTCCTTTAGAATTTGGAGCGCGGCGAGATGGTCCTTGATCCTCTTCTTATCTTTCTCCGGGACGCCCCACTTCCACGACCATGGGACCTCTTCGATGATGCGCCCGGAGAACACCGGCAAGGGGGCAGCCACGTCGTCCTTGACGTAAAACCAATGCGAATGCCACCCCTTATTGGAGGTCGATAGACGCATCGACGGGTAGTCGTTCACCCAGTTGTTGCGTAGATGAATGCTGGCACATCCCATTGGCATGCTCAGCTCTTGCTTCCCAACCCACTTCTTCGACAGGTTGACGGCGAAGAGATACCGCCACATATCAAAGTGAGGACTAATCCCCAGGAAACCCTCACATAGGGCTACGAACGCAGCAATGTGCTGGACCCCATTGGGACTAAGGTGCTTCAACTCCACCTGGTAGTAATCCAACAGCCCCTAAAGGAACTTATGCGGCGAATCCCTGCTCGTGGAAGTGAGCAAAGGACATGACATATCCTTCGGGCGGCGATGGCTTGTCCTCATCACCGAGCAGCCACCACTCCTCGATGGCGGTCAACGGACAAAGGAGGCCACGGCGAACGAGGCCCTCTAAGCGCTGAGGGGTGATGTTGGATCTGCACCATGGCTCCATTGAAACGATGGGGAAGGGGGTGGATGCGAGCTTGATGGCGGCTGCGATGCGGATGCGAGCTTGACGGCAGTGGCGATGCGGGTGTGGGAGGCTCAGGCGATTGGCGGCGGAGGTTGTAGAGGCGAAGGCGAGGAGGCGAAGTATGAAACCCTGGGAGCGAACCTCGTGGTTTATAGGGGCGACGGATGTGAGAAGTGCAACCGTCTGCCTCGGTCTCTGAGCCTACCACGATACACCACCATGTCACATCGCGGGATATGCACCCACGATCCCTATCCTTTCCCACCAAAATCGCGCTGGGCGTTTCGCCTTCCCAAGCAGACTAGGACACTTTTCCCACAGAGGGGATACGGGTCAAAAAGCTTCTTCTCTGGCCCGCCTAGGCCTAGGAGTCCAAGGGCTAGCCAAACAGTCTCAACGGCCGTCCCAATGAGGGATGGGCCCACGAGCGACCAGGACCTAGGCACACAAGCCTCAAGGGAGCCTCGATGCGCAATCAAGTCCCAACCGGGCAAACCCTGGGCGAATCCCCGCGAACGGGATACCAGGGTTTCCTTCAAAACTGTACAGTTGACAAAAACCAAATCTCACAGCTATACCCGCAAAGGGTCCAAAATTACCCCCCGGGTGATTCTATCTGAATCACCCGGGGGCTTGGGGGCTACACCCGACGGGTGCGCTCGTGCGCACCCTCTAGCGAATCGAAATACCCCCCCGGCGATTCTGCCCGAATCACCCGGGGGCTCGGGGGCTACACCCGACGGGTGCGATCACGCGCATCCTTTGGCAAATCGAAATACCCCCCGGGTGATTCTACCCGAATCACCCGGGGGCTCGGGGGCTACACCCATCGGGTGCGCTCGCGCGCACCCTCAGGCAAGTCAATATACCCCCTGGGGGATTCTATCTGAATCACCTGAGGTCTCGGGGGCTACTGTCGGGGACCTAATACCGAGGTACCCAATGAGGTGGAATTAATAACCATCGAACGTTGACGCTTCCGGTCAGACAAGAACGCTACTACACTTCTTGTCCGAACGACAGAAGATTGACTCCGCCTCGCCCGACGGCTGAGGGCTGGCTCTGCCTCGCCCGATGGCTAAGGGTAGGCTCCACCTCGTCCGACGGCTGAGGGCAGGCTTCGCCTCGCCCGACACCTAAGGGCTAGCTCCGCCTTGCTCGACCCCCGAGGGCTAGACTCCGCCTCGCCCGATGGTTGAGGGCTGGCTCCGCCTCACCCAACGGCTAAGGGCAGGCTCCTCCTCGCCCGACACCGGAGGGCTGGCTCTGCCACGCCCGACGGCCGAAGGCAGGCTCCACCTCGCCCGACGACTACATCCTGTTCCTTCATAAATACGAGTGCAGGGTACGACAAGACATTCGAGTCAACCGCAGTACCGAGGGCCATGCCCTGCATGCCTACAAGAAGGTACTGTCAGGATACGACGGGATAGGCGCTTTAGGCCCTTTCCGTCCTGACAGTGTCCGAACAGTGTTGTAGACGTCGACTTTTGTCCCACAGTGTTGTAGGCGTTGCCATCAGCCCTCGGATGCAGATACTAACACAAGCATACGACAACCACTATGATCCAAGACAGAACTCACATCATCCATAGTGATAGACGCATGGTCAATTCCCCGTCTACCCCCCGAAGGGTCACAGCTTGGCTCTCTGGCACGCCACACCATCCGCCGGTGTAGGATGGGATGCACCCACATGCTGAAGGAGGCCAGGGCACGGCCCTATAAGGATCAACAAACACGCCATTCCTGACACGGTCTGCCATGTTAGTAGGGCAGGCATAGGAGAAAAGGAAGACCCGGCTCCCTCGAAGGATCTTCTCTACCTTTGGTTTTTTCCTCTTTCTCGCGTCTGTAACCCCTGCTCCCCCCTTGGTCTATAAAAGGGAGGGCAGGGCACCCCACTAAGGGGACCGATCATTTTGGACACACAAGACACAGCCAAGCAGCAACCGAGCTCTTGGCGTCCTTTCGACCTTTCCATCAGAGACTTGGGACATGTCCCTCTCTCGACCGTTTGTACCCCCTACTATGAAATTTTTTCGGTACTAATAACACGAGCAGCAGCAAACTAGACGTAGGGACATTCTGCCCGAACCAGTATAAACCTTGTGTCCTTTAGTACACCATCCGAGCCAACATGCAACAATTATAAATTTACTAGCCGGTGTTTGTTCGAAACACCGATGCATATAATACCATAAATTCAATACTTGCGCAAATGAAAATATATATTGTTCTTCTTTCACGAAATTTCCTGACAACAAAAAGACAAGCGGATGTGAGGCAAGAGCTAGGCGTCATTTAAATGATAAGCTAAATAGACACAGGTATAATCAAAATGGTTAACTGGTCGCTCTGCAAAATAGTAAAAAAATATATGTTTAAAAGGACTCATATAAAACCTTAAATTCAAAACTTGCGTAAATGAAAATATGCATTGTTCTTCATTCCTGAACTTCCTGTCAACAAAAAGACAAGCAGATAATGGCAGATAAGCTAAACAACAAGGACATATCACATATCAGTAATTCAATTACTTCTTTACTAATCCTGGAGAGTACAAATGATTTTGGCACTAATAGCTCACCGATTAAATTTTCACAACAGAACTGCAGATTAACAATGACTCTCCAAATTGCTTCTTTTTAGTCCACTTGAAAGGTTTAGCAGGAAGCGAGATGGAATACTAAAAAGAGAAAATTGGTTTTATAGCATTGAAAGATCACGAGATTCAGAAAATACCACCGAAAGAACTCTGTTACATAAAATACCACTAAAAGATGCAACTGTTGTCTGAAACTAGCATTCTGTCACGTTGAAGGTAACCCCCGTCCATCTAAAGGCAAAAAAATCCAACTCCCAGCCGCTGTCAAGATGTAGCGCGCGTCGGCGAAGAACTGTGATGGGTACACGCTGATGGACGACGCGTGCTCCACCAGGCACCAACCGCGGGGGCGGCCTGGCCTTGGCGCCTCACGCCCGCCTTCCGCGTGGCGAGGAAGATGGCCACGCCAGCGAGTGTTGCGGCGGCGACGGCGATGGCTACGGCCCGGCCTTGGCCTTGCTGCCACTGCGCGCCTAGACGAGCACGATGCCCACGGCCAACACCTGGTTCTGGCAAAACAAGGCGGTTGCCACTCATCACGACGCTAGCCACCTTCGGTCCAAGCTGCGCTCAGGTCCGGAGAGGTTGTTGCGCGCGAGCACCAGCGACCACAGCGGCCCCATGTCCCTGACGAACTCCGGCAGCGCACCCTGCAGCGAGTTGTTCTGGAGGCATCAATGCTGGACGTCTTGGGCAGCGGAGGCACGCCGGTGCCAGGCCCCATGATGTGGAGCTGCGTCATGTTGTTGTCGTAGCACTCGATGAAGGCGGAGGCGGTCTTGTAGTCCCCGCCATAGCAGAAGTTGGTGCTGTAACTGCTGTTGGCCCAGGTGCGGAGCACCGGCGGGTAGTTGAGCAGGTGCTGGATCCGGAGCAGCGACCATGTCTGCGACGACTGCAGCTGTTTGGACTCGGGCATCATTCCTAGCACTAGCAGCAACGGTAGCAAGATGAGCAGAGGATGCCGGCAACCTCCTAGAGTCATTCTTGGACCTTACTTACCCTTGTTGATCTAGCTTGCCACAAAGAGGAAGGGGATCCACCTACGCGGGAGCTGAGGAAGATGAAGGGGATGGGATTTCCACTGGTGCTCACGTTGGAAGAAAGGAGGAGCAACGGTGGACACACGTCGTTAGTTCATATCGTGACAGAATGGTAAATTCGGGTAACAGATCGTTTTAATGGTATTTCACGTGGTCGTGATATTTGAGTGGTATTTTCGGCTCTCGTGGTCTTTGGATGCTATGAAACCAATTTTCACTACTAAAAAATCCCGAAGCATTGCCGGCACTGGTCCTACCAGTGGAAGGTTTAGCAGGAAGGGAGATGGAATACTAAAAAATCCCAGACTCAAAGAAATGGGGAAAAGAAAAGGGAAGCAAAGGGAGCAGAGCATACGACCTCTTCGGAGATGATGCAGAGCTGTCCATGGGAGTACTCACCGCGGTGGGCGAACTCGAGCATGGCATGGCCGCACCGGCCACCCCTACCACCGGGGCCGGAGCAGGGAGGAGCGTGCGCCGCCGCCGCGAGGCCAGCGTTCGTCTCCTCGGTTGCCGACCACGGGGAAGAGACAGAGATGCCGGCTGCGGGGAAGACGGAGATGGCATCGCGATACCGGCCACGGCGTCCTCAACTGCGAACATTTTCCCCACCGTGAGACGGACGCAGCAAACCCTACTGGCCATCTGTTGTTTGCATCTAGAACAAGAGAATGAACATGTTGGCGACGAGATCTCTAGCACCGGGTCGTCCCAGAGACCACGGCGAACGGGGAGGCTTCGCCACCGGGGGCATCGTGGGGTCGCCCAGCCGCCGCACCACGAGCGCCCAAGAGGCCCAAGTGGCCTAAGCAGCTGCCGTGCCCTTCGCCCAAACCCTAGGCGCGGGCGTTCCTGCACATGGAGTGGAGCCGCCGCCGCCGTCTCCTGACCCCGCCTGGCATTTTCGACTTCGGGACCACGAGTTTTATCTTCTTTTTTCCTAGAGAAATCGAGATGGAGAAGGTGAAATTCGATCTCTGGCTGTGGAGGGCGCCTATGGGGGCGGAGCTTGTGCGGGGGTGGGGTGTGCGCGCACGTTTGAAGCCGGTTTGAAGCCTGAAACGATCGTGGCCATAGGATTGGTTTGAAGCCTTTCCGGGGTGGTTTGTAGCCCTTAATTTTAACGAAGATGATTTGTTGTGTGCATTTTTCTAGGTGTACTTGGTTAGAGCCTCTCAACGGGAGATGTTTTTTCTAGGGACCTAGTATAATTTGGATTGGTCTATTATAGCAGAGATATTTGTCTAAGCTGCAAGCCTTGTGTGTCACTGTAGATGGGCGCAATATATATATATATATATAATATCATGTAGCTTGCTGCAGAATAACTTATTCTGTAGCCACTTTGAGTTACAATAATTACTATGTTAATTTATGAGATTATAGTAACTTTCTAAATGGTTTAATATAGCGTTACGGTAAATATCTCCATGTGTTATAGTAACCCAACTATCGTAAATATATATTGACATTATCGTAAATTAATATATAAAATTATAGTAAATAGAGGTGGCTACAAAATAACTTATTTTGTAGCCTAGTGAATAGCCTCTCCTATATATATATATATATACACACACATGGCCCGCTCGCTCGAGTGGATTTTTTTCTCGTTTTTATTTGGGCCGGGCGACCTGCCGTGCTCCATGAATGAATTAAACCCATTTGCCGCCGTGACAATCCAATATGCAGCTAGCTGTTATTCTGTCCGGATTCCCAAGCTAAACACCCGTATATATCTAAGCATTTGGCCCTAGCTAGCTTAGATGCCCAATGCAAGTTACGCAAGAAATGCCAAAATGATGTCATATACATGAACTTGAGCAACTCCAACAGCTTGACTATTCTTGTAATGTAGGCTATTTTAGAATTTGTATAACAAAACGTAGAATCCAACATATGTGCTATCTGACTTTTTAAAATAGAAAACTGGTTATCCCTTGATTTTCGATAACCATATATATCCAACCATGGGCGCTGGTTATCTGACTTTGTAAAATAGCAAGGTTGTTGTGGACCTCTTCTTTTTTCAGAAGTTTTCTATTTTTTACAAAATGGCTAAACAATAGAATTTACCTATTAATTTTAGCTTTTTTTAGATAATGGAACCAAATGTTTCGGCTTCAGCTTCTCACAAAAGAGAAGCATCAGACCAAGCTTCTTACAACCTCACTCCAAACGAAACTCACACAGGTGCAAACTAGTTCCCAATGCGATAACTAAAGTTCCAGCCATTTGAAGCAAAAATAAACATGGCTTTTGACTCTAAATTTCTGCACGCATCTTGGATAAGCACCCTGTGTTCATCCTGCCGCTACAATGGAGCCCAAAAGCTCTCCCAGTATGTCGCCCTGAAGAGTACCTGCAAAAAAGTTTTTGGTTGACATTTATTAAACACCGAATCATTCATTGTGAACCAAATAACCCAACAAAGGGCTGCACCTGTCAATAATAAGAGATTGTGTTTTTGTTGACCCAATTTAGGCCAACCTCCAAACATATGTGCTATGTTCCTCGGCGGTCTCAAACCAAAAACCCAGTGAACCATATGCCATAGAGCCTTAGCGACAAAACAATCAAAGAATAAATGATTTATGGTTTCTAGGCTACTGCAAAAGCTACAAACCTTACTACCATTTCAATTTCTTTTGGCCAGATTATCCTTTGTGAGTATAACCCTTTTTTTAGAACCACGAGAAAATCTTAATTTTCAAAGGGAGTTTCATTCGCCAAATCTCTTGCATAACCTTAACCCCATTATTGACAAGGTGATTGTACATTGATTGAACTAAAAAGGATCCATTTTTTTGGAGCTGCTAGACAAATTTGTCTGATTCCTCGCCCAGGTTGATATGTACAAGACGTGCAACTAGATCATGCCAATGTGACAGTTTATTCCCCGTTAAAGCCCTTCTAAACGAATAGGGGAGTAGACTGCAACACCTCGGCGACTGTTACATGCCTTCTACGTACAATATTATAAAGATCTGGGTATTGAGTTTTAAAAGCTTGGTTGCTTAACCAAATATCCTCCCAGAAACTGATTTGGGTACCGTTGTTTAATTTAAAGCAACCCAATCTAAGGAATTGATTCTTGACACCCATAAAACTACCCCAAAAATGGGAATCCCCAGCTTTCTTCTCAATTTGAGTTCTTACCACATGCCATCGTTATTGCATAGTTTAAAAAGCCATTTACCCAAGAGACATTTATTCTGTAAGTCTAGATTAAGCACACCCATTCCGCCCTGTTCTTTTGGCTGACATAAGATGGGCCACTTAATCGGTCTATATTTCTTTTTGTGATCATCACTTTGCCAGAAAAATCTAGATCTATAAAACTCTTTTTGAGAACCCCTCTTGGTATTTCAAAAAAAGACATCATAAACATAGGCAGACTTGATAGGACTGAATTACTTAGCACAAGTTTCCCTCCTGATGAGAGCAATTTTCCTTTTTTGCTACTTAGTTTTTTCTCAAATCTATCTTCGATCCGCTTCCAATCTCTATTGGAAAGCTTTCTATAGTGCATTGGGATGCCCAAATATTCAAATGGAAAGACACCAATTTTGTAACCAAACAGCTGCGAATATTGTATCTCGCAATATCTTTGCTTGACCAAAACAGAAGATTTCGCTTTTGTGGAAGTTAATTTTTAGACCAGACAATTGCTCAAAAACACAAAGCAACAATTTCATGTTCTTTGCTAGTTCTAAATCATGGTCCAAAAATATAATTGTGTCATCTGCATATTGTAGGATAGATAGACCCTCTTCTATTAAGTGTGGAATTACTCCCCTTATTAAATTGTCCTGTTTATTTGGCTCTATTCATAATGATAGCCAACATATCCACTATAATATTAAATAAAATAGGGGGATAAAGAATCGCCCTGCCTAAGGTCTTTCTTGGTCTGGAAATTGGGCCCCAAATCATCATTCACTCTAATAGAAACATTTCCACCTTGGACTACTTTGCTAATCCAATTACACCAGATCGGGTCAAAACCCTTCGTTCTTAAACATAATTGTAGGAAATCCCAATTAACTTTATCATAGGCATTTTCAAAGTCAATTTTAAAAACAATACCATCTTTTTTTTCTTAGTGTGTAATTCATGAATAGTCTCATGTAAAATAACTTCCCCTTCCATGATATTTCGACCAGGTAGAAAAGCCATTTGCGACGGTTTGATAATCCTTTCGGCTACCTTGCTGATCATGTTAGTAAGCACTTTGGTAAAAATTTTGAAGCTAACATTAAGTAGACATATGGGTCTATTCATTTTAGCTAAGCAGTTGGAGTTGCTCACTCTGATCTATCTATATATATACTCATTAGGAATGGTTTTATATATACTACCTTATGCTTGGAGTTTTTTTTTATTGCCTCAACATTCGAGTACAAGTTGTAGTATTTGAAGTCACGCACCAATGCACACCACACGCACACACCCTAACACACTCACACCTCTAGTGCGTAAGCTAGACCTACAACCAATATCTAGGGCTAGGAGTACACGGCTGAGAGATATGACAGTGGTGGCTCATCCGTGCGAGGCAACTGGAATTATTAACGGGGAATAAATCCCCTAGGCGAGGCACCCACACTACTACAGTAAACTTAACAGAGGCAGGCAAAATCTGCTTTGCCCGCCTCGGTTAATCGATTAACCGAGACGGTCGGCTTAAGGCAACCGCCTCGGTTAATACTTATTAACCGAGGCAGACGCCCTTACCCGCCCGCCTCCATTAATGTATTAACCGAGGCGGTGGTTAAAGACGCACGCCTCCGTTAAACTATTAACGAGGCGTTTGTTATTACTTGCCCGCCTCGGTTAATGATTTTCCACATTTAAAAAAAATATTTTTCAATTTTGAATTTGAATTTGAATTTGAATTTGGATTTAAATTGAAATTAAACACAGATCAAAGCACCCAAAT